AGCCTTAGACATGTGCATGATTCACACGAATCTTTACTAGATTGATATGAAAATTTTCTTCCTTCACTCCAGCCACGTTTGGTTGAAAACTATAAGGATATGCACATGTCCCATTTCATTGCATATACAGCTGCATCCTTGCAATCTTTTCACTATATTTCTTCCAGTCAGGTTGCACTTGCTCTCCATAAATTTGATAAAGCTTGGCCGCCCATGAAACTAGTCCAATAATGCATTTGGAAATATTTTGGAACATAATACGTTGGCTGCCTTTCTATTGGTTTTCTTTTATTTTTTTCCTTATTCAGTTTTTGTCCGTTGGCCTTTTCTCTCACCCATCCCATTTATGCTTTTCGCGTAGGTTCATATATGCTTTCCCTGGATGTCCCTGTGTAATTTTCCTTGAGCAGATTGTGCATTCCTCTTAGCTGTGCCATTTTTGTTTTTCTTGGAGCCTATCTTTCTGATTGTGTATAAGACCACTGTTGACGTTTAGATTAGATCACTAGTCTTGTGCTTATCTGCAACTTTCCTTTTGATATATAAATTCTGCTTTTAGTTGTAATTGTTGATGATTTTGTTGTTTGTTTCTTTCTCCAGTCATGCTACGTTTCATGTTATTTTAGTTTTCTAAAACGTGGAGTCCATTTTTTTGCAGGAAGTCATCAGGATTAAGAATGAACATCCAGATGACAATCATTGTATTGTAAATGACAGAGTTAAAGGTCGTCTTAAGGTCACCAGAGCATTTGGGGCAGGATTTTTGAAACAGGTTCATCTAATAGACTTTGCAGATTTATAGATTTTTTGAATCTCTTTAGTAACTCTCCTCTGAACTCCTCTCTCCCTTCTTCAAAAAGAAGAGAATATGTAGATTTCCATAGTTTCATAATTATGACATCCAACAATTTATCTTGGTTCTCAGTTCTTTATGTGAATGAAGATTCTTTATTAATCTTGTGCATTTTTACTGTGTTATTGCTCTGATGTGTGTGTGTGTGTGTGTTTATATTACTGAGATTTTTTTTTTTAAAAAAAGGCGTATTAAAAAGATTGAGGCTGGGTTTACAAGATGTCAGTTATCGGATATGAGGATATGACAATTTTCTAGAAACTTCTAGGATATGGATGCGTGGGCGCATATTTTAGTGTGTGTAAAATAAAAAATCATTGAAGACCTTGACGTTGCCATGAAACTAGTCCAATATATAATTGAAACACGTTCAGGTATCCAGTATTAAGATACAGCAATGATATCGATACACATTCAAAAATGACTATATGTTGCTTCATTAAAAGGTCTTTTTGCTCAGAGAGAAGTCTTCCTTCATACATTTCTTGGACCTTGAGTTTAGACATTAGGTTTGGTAAAAAATTAGTAATAAGCAGTATAATAAGAAGTATATTAGTAATTTCTAAGGGTGCACACAGAAATCCAGTATATGGTTCTTATGTTTCTAATTGTCTTTGTCTCTGTGGTTGGTTGTAAGAAGTGAATTCTGTCATTGTGGAGTGCACTAAGATTCAGCTCTGACCATGGAAGAGATGCGCAAGTCATATAAATTCAATTCTAAAGTGCTTATGGCTCTGCTGCCTACACTAATGCTTATGCACACCAATAGGATTTTTCATTCTTGCTTCCCTTCCCTGTCTCTGGTCGTTTGCTGCATGTATTTATTACTTTTAACAAGCGTGTGCTTACATGATAGTATTGTTTGCATGTTGCTGCAGCCAAAGTGGAATGATCCTCTACTGGAAATGTTCCGCAATGAATATATTGGTACTGCTCCATATATATCCTGCTGCCCTTCGCTACGTCATCATAGATTATGCCCAAGAGATCAGTTTTTGATCCTCTCATCTGATGGGTTATATCAATATCTAAGCAATCAAGAAGTGGTTTCTCAAGTTGAGAGCTTCATGGAAAAGTTTCCTGACGGAGATCCTGCTCAACATTTGATTGAGGAGCTTCTCCTCCGTGCGGCTAAGAAAGCTGGTAAATAAGTCTTCTGACATACTATTTTTCTTTTAGCAGTCATGTTATGGTGTTGAAATGACTTGGTTTATGAAGTGGAATAATTTTGGATTGATATCTCGTTCTGATAAGGCAAATATCAAAATAACAATCTTTTCCAGCTTGCTCGTGCATTGTTTTCAGATTTTTAATGGCGTATAATTTTTGGCTATTGTTTTGTTTATTTTCACGCTCCCTCTTTGACGTGTTCAACATACTGGCCTGTTCATGTGCTATCTGTGAACATGTGATATGTCCAAAACATTGTGCCGTGTACAACTCGCATTTAATGAGGGTGCAAACAACTGTTGTAGGAATGGATTTACATGACTTATTGGATATCCCACAAGGAGACAGGAGGAAATACCATGACGATGTTACTGTCATGGTGATATCACTTGAAGGTAGAATCTGGAAATCATCAGGGAAGTATCTGTGAGGCCAACCTTCAACTCGCTGGTGGCTCTATACATGTGATTATACGTTTCTTTTCTTCACCTGAAGGTGAAATCCAATTGGCACCAAACTTTTGCAGCTGATCCATTTTTCGTGGGTCCTAAGGTGTTTTCCCGGGGTCTTTGCGGCATGAAGGTATAGTCATCTCAGATGTTAAACGCAATAGACTACCGTTAGAATTTCATCCAAAATTTGGGATTGGGCTCGAGGATGGGAAATTGCTGGTGGAATTTTAGGGATTCCTCTAGGAGGAGAAGGCAGTGAAGTCTTTATGAATCTGCTTCTTTTTGTCCCCTTTAGCTGTCTTCTTTTCCTCTCTCTTTTTCCCCAGTTTATAGAGGTGAAAAATAATAGAAATTTTGCGTAGCGGAGGCTCTTTCTATTATTCATTTTGTTTTCTTTCTTTGTTGGAGCCAAAAGAATATGGGTGTACATTGGTGGGGTGGGGATACAAATGTACTTATTTTAACTTGATCATTCCCTAGTCAGAAACGAGCATCTGTAATTGAGGGTGGGGTTCCGCCATTACGGATCGATATGATTCCGAATTACTGAGATCTCTGTGAATCAAATCATTTCGAGTTGTAGGATGAGATAGGTCCTAGCGAAATCTTAACTGGGGGATCTCAGGATGACAGTACCAAGCCTTGCTTTCTTTTTTCACCTGCCTTTCCTTTTGTATAAAAAGATATGCTGCTATTCTGTCTGAAACTTCTGGATTCCTTGAAGTAGCCATTTTAGGCTGCGGATGCAACAAATCCATGCTAAATTTTTCATCTTCAAATTATTTTTTAAAATGTGTTTTTGGTATAAATGCTTGTTTTTTAAAATAATTATTCATAGTTTTCTGCTTATTGAATGAAAAAAACTAAATTATTATGTAATTGAATTTTCAGGTCCGGGGTAATTGTTATTTTGGGTCTTCAATTAACATTTTAGCAAATTAGAGCTCCTAATGAGATCTAGAACATGCTTGAGACGAGAGGGCCTTTTATTTGTTTCGAATTGATGATTCAGATTGAGAATTGTGCGACTGCACGGCTAACCAGTTGAGGATGATATAGTCATTAGCGTGAAATTAGTTTTATTTTTATTTCTATATTAACACAAGTCTGCGATTTTTGAATTTTGATCTTATTTAACTAACGTAAAGAAAAGTACGTACGACTACTTGAAGAAAAGAAGTTGAAGTACATGTAAAGGATTAAAGATACAGGAAAAAATCGCCCCCCCCCCCCCCAAAAAAACCCGGGGCTATTTTCTAAATTTAAAAATATTTAAGAATTAATTCAAAAAATTAGATGCATCAAATTACATATATTGGACCAGGAATATACAAAATAACAAACCTTAATTTCATTACGTGTTATTTGCTATATAGGTTGTACAATATCATATATTTAATCAATAATTAAGTGTTTAGTTATATTATTAATATTAATCCAAAGATCTTATTTAATAATTTCTATAAACATTCTTTAATTTTCCCCTCCCTTTTTTTAGAGACTCAAGATAAGATTATTTGTTCTGCTCTCAACTCTCTTTATTCGTGTTTCTCACGGCTTTTTAAATATATATCCAAATTATTTTAAATAATTTTCTGATGTTTTTACTTTAATAGATGTCATGTTTTTTCTTATAATATACACTGACTCTTAAAATTAGGGAAAATTATTCTTAGAATTTTAAAAAATATATAACTTTAAATATCTACATTTACTTGTGTGTTATTATTAGTCTCTATATTTTTTTTTCAGTATTTTTGGTTTTTCTACTTTTGTTTTTCATTGTCTTAGGTCTCTTCATGAATAAAGTATAAAGACCTTAGAAGGAGCTAGAATAATTAAAAAAAATATATAGGGACTAAAAATACTGAAAAAAATATAAGAATCAATAGTAAAACGCAAACAAAGTATAAGGGTATGAAGTTATATTTTTTTTAGATTGTACAAAAAGTAATTTAAATACACAAAAATTATATGAATTCACAAAATTAATCTAAAATCTTACGTCCTTTTTTGAAGCTGTCATTTACTGTCAAAGTTAATTATTGTTGCTTAATTGTCAATTGAACTTAAAAGGGTGGAAAGTGAAGAAAGAATTCTTTTCTTACTAATAATTGATAACTTCACTATAATAAATTAGTAAAAGACATGCAACTTTAGAGTAATCTTATAATTTCATATAGTATTGCACGTATGAAATTGAAAATGACTTCTCCTCAAAATACTTGTATGGAGAAACGTTTAAGGGGGGATTAATCTGAACTCAAGCTGAAATTAGCAGTGTTTGCCGTTGTTTTTTTTTTTTTTTTGTTGCGACCATTTACTGATTTTTTGATTTTGGGAAGAAAACATTGAGAGTTGCTTACAGTAAAGAACTTTGACGTTCAAATGGTTAACAAGACGTTGAAAATTAGTTGTCATCAAATTTTACTACTGCCAAGATTGAAATGCAGTGTTCACTCTTGTTTCCCACAGCATTTTCTTTGTGGGTTGAAACTTGAAAACATTTTCGTTTAATAATAAAATTATAAAAAATGACCGATTCACATTTCACATCAACAAGAATGCAACCAGTAAAAGCCAGGCAAGCGTATACTATGCAATAATAAACGCAGGGGAAAATTACAACCCTTCTCTGGTACTATGCGACGACGAAGGAATTAGGGCTACAAAGCGAGAAGGTGAATGAAAGCCCAATCCGTTTCCTCATCTAGGTCGTAACAGCAAGTGACGGAACCTTTGATTTCACCCACGACACTAAATCATCTCTTGTTGCCACAAAGCAACCAGCTTTCTCCTCACTCTGCCTAAATGGAGCACCCATTTTCTTCAAATGAGTGGCTAACGAAATGCCCAATCCTTGGGAAAACTTGTGAATTCCCGTTCCAGTTTGGGCTAAGAGTAAGCCAGGCAGTGTCTCCTCCCTCTGAACCAGTCTGGCCAGTGTCCCCATCCACTCTTCCACTGCAGTCTGAGCCGCTCCCACTGACAGTGACCTCACATCTAAGCACCATTCATCTGCTGTCTTGTTGTGCAAACCTGGGTATAATCCATACAAGGTTCCTAAGTAGAGAAGCTCATGTGCTCTCTCTTGCAGATCTTTATTACGACATATATCAATCAAGCAGTTACAGAAGGGTCTTCTCACTTCTACAGCTGCGTCACTCATTATACCCTTGAACTGTTCTCTCACTGTCTCAAAACTAGTTTTCTCTTCAACCATCAACTTTACAAAAGCGACCAATTTTGGGTTAGCTTGTTGCAAGCAAGCAAGCACCTTTTCCTCATCGTTGCTATTCTGAGACAAAGACACAACAGATAGTAAGGAACCGCATAGCCTGTCATCTGGCTTGATTCCACTCTCAACTGAAGTTTTAAAAACTTTGACTAAATCGTCAAACTCCATAGCTTTCCCGAAGCATTGAATCAAACAAGTGCATCCCATCACGTTAAGATGAATACCCAATTCAGACATTTCTTCAAACAATTCCATTGCCTTCTCCACATTCCCTTCACTCCCATATATATTCAACATTGCAGTGTAACTCCAGCTATCTGGCTGGCAATGCTCGGACCGTTTCATGTCACTGAATAGCGTTTCAGCTTCTTCAACCAGTCCAACATCCGCACACATATTCAACAATGTATTGTAGAGAATGAAATCCATGGGCCAGCCATTTTGCCTCATTCGCTCCCACAATTCCAGAGCATCTTTAGCCCACCTTGCCTTCCCATATATCTTGATGACGGCCGTTAAAGTCTTTTCATTTGGAGCTATACCCGAGTCAATCATTTCTTCAAACAGGCTGCGTGCAAACCCTGGTTTTCCAGCTTTTCCCATTGCCTCCAACAACGTATTGTACACGACCAAATTGGGCTGCACGCTTAGCGACTTCATCTCCTGCAAAACGTACCTGATACCGTCGTAGTCACCAGCCTCGCCGAACATCTTTCCCAACACAGAGAAAGTGATAGGGTCAGGCTTCCACCCTGTTGCTCTGGCTCTCTCGTACAAACTAAGGACCTCTTCAACCTTTCCTAGCCTGGCATAAACATCTAAAATAGCAGAATAAGTCACCTCGTCTGGCATCAAACCAGTCTTATACATCCTTTCAAACCAATGCACAGCCTTGTCAAACAGATTACACTTTTTGGCACAGCTTATGATGGTGCAGTAAGTGATATTATCCATCTTAATGTCTTTCTCAATCATCTCATGCGCAAGGTCTTCGATCAACTGAAACTGTCTCCCAAACCTCAGAGACTTCATCGTGACATTGTAGAATATGGGTTCCATGGGAAACGAATTCTGCTTTTTGACCCAATTAAAAAACAGAAGGGTTTTCTGCCACGGCTTCAAACCGTTGAGAATTAAAAGCGCATTTTCTTTGGTAAGCGGGGTTGGGATTTCCTCAACAACAGCCAAGAAATCTGATTCCGAGGCATCACAATCGTTGAGCTTCTGAGCAAAGCGCCTGAGATCTCTGATCTGGGGATTATAATTGTAAGGAGAGCGTTTGTGCCTCTGGTGGGAAAGCACAGAGCGCTTGGGCTTTGTTGGGTTGAACCAGGTGGATTTAGGCTTGGACAAGACATAGGGTTGGTGCGTGGAAGAGTTAGATAACGTGGTGTTGGCAAGGGGTCGGAGTTGCTCAGACAAGGAAGGGTTTTTGTCGTCGGGTCCATCTGAACTAGGAGGAGCTTCAGGAGTGGATTTGGAAATAGTACAGCAAATAGTGAGCTTTCTATGGCTGTTTTGGAGAGAGGTATGGCGGAACCTTGTAAGCTTGGTGTCTGAGTTATGCCCACTAAAATAGATATCCAAAGCTGTTGACAGAGGAGCAGCCATTGCAGGCACTGGGAATGAAGATATTCCAACTTCAATTTCCAAGACGTTGTTTGTGACCTTATCTACAATCCTGCTCGGAGCAATAAATAAAAATAAAAGGTCCCACAAAGGTTTTTCGCCCCCTCTTCTTAGAAAACCAGAAGGAGCGGGTTACAGATAAACAAGTCTTGGATAAGTTAGTGGGTCAAGCGTTCTCAGACCTCACCCGACACCCCACGAGACGACAAGCCTCTTGGGCTGTTATTCCATCCCCCATCAGTCCAAGCCTATACTCATATTTGGACGAGCGGTGGAAGGCCTCATAACACCGTTTAGAGCACAAAATTAATTTCCACAGATGCTGAAAGTGAAAACGAAACACCACCCAAATTCAGCATCTACCCATGGAGTGGAGATTTTAGTCATGCGAGTTACAGTTCCAACTACCGTAAAAATGTTACATTGCTTGAACCCCGAAGCATGGGGAGGGATAAGAGTTATTTTTTCCATGCTCTTCAAGAAGAAACATGTCCGGAAGTAGACGCAAAGCATTCTGATGAACTTTTGAATTTGCAAACTATTGGAAAAGGGCAAAGGAGCACAATGCAAAATTCTGCACATTAGAGGTTTAGAATCTTTCTAACCCAAGATAACGTTTAGCCTTGCATATCTACTGGTCAGCAAGTGCTGAATATTATTTGATTGCGGAAGAGTATTCTGTTTGTAAAAAAACACCGGAGAGTGAAACAAACCACTCAGATCATTGTGAAACCGCAAAGCAGTCCATTCGTTTTAGGCGATCATCAGACCTCCACAAGTAAAACCTCAGAAACACAGGAATCGCAGAAGACAACTTGAGATTATTGATTCATATGTGATGCGAAACAGCTAGAGTCGAGATAGCAAGCTTGCTATAAATAGGAGTAACACTAAACCATCACCTCAAGGAACAGTTAATATCAAGAACCATTTCATTGCAGAAACAAGCCCCTGAAGTTTTCCTTTCCCAGTTAGTTTTGTGAAGTTGTCCCCCTTTTTGCAGATCACCACATAGATTTTGTGTATTGAATCATATTCAACACAGTAGAAAAGGCCTACCACAATTTTCATTTCTAGCGAGTACCAAGAGTGGTATGACCAAATTCCTAAGGAGAACACATCTAAGCAGACAAAGATGCATAGAGAAGGTCCTTTAGAGATTTAGATGCAACAGGCCCTGCAATTCAGAAAGGCGCCTTCTCACCCCCAAGGAGGGATCTGATTAATAAAGGCACCTAAAATCCTCCTGAAGTCAAAAGCAAAAGTTGCCCATCTGACAAACCAATTTTCAATTTCAATCCTCGAATTCCTCCCTCAGGGGGTTTCCAGGCTCGAAACAGAACACCCCCATACGACTCCAGCCTGGTTTTTCTTTCCATGGTATTTGAGAATGAATCATTGCCAACAATTTTTTTTTTTTTAGCGAGTTGATTACTTAGCCCAAAAATAAACAATAGGAAGCACCATTAATCCTATGTTTTCGAATACAGAAGTGATATGACAGGTTGTAATATTAAAATGCTCTCGTCATCCAGAAAAACAAAGCAAGCTCCTCTTGAAACACACAATCTCTGCACATCCACCTTTCACAGGGTCTGAGGGCAAAGTAGGGAGAAGCAGGCAAATCAACAATTTGTGGACTGCCTGATTCTCCTTCTACCATGCTTCATACACAAATTTAATGCGTAATGATAAAACTGAAGCAACGTTACTTCAGCTCTCTATGACATGACATTTTTTATCCTGAATGAAACGTACGTTAGTTCCTGCATCCAACCAATATGAGAGAAAAAAATAATAACAATAACAATAACAAGAAAAGTGCTAGGGGTTCTAAAAATGAAGGCCATACAGTCTCTGTAAAACCAAGAGTGATCGGAATGTGATATTGATAGAGCTGGTACTTCAGCAGATTCATCCAAGTCATGTTTATTTACATTTGCGCTAACAACTCCCCTCTCCTCACTTTCATCTTTGCACCAGCTGTTGCCAGTAACCATGAAAATATTGTTATACTATGTAATAATACTAGAATAGAATCAGTTCGGTTTCTTGCTTCCTTTTTCTATATAAAACATGATTTCATTCTTGTGCAAGCGGAAAGATAATATAGAAATAATGAGAAGTTTATATGCCCCAAAGAGGAAAAAATGTCACAAAAATTATTTTTCCAATTTCAATTCTTAACCAGATAATACTCGGAGATTGAAGAATACAATATACGTTTACATTCAGTAGACACCTCACCATGATGATCAATTAGGAGGTGGATCCAATAATTGCTTAATCTGCCTTCGCGCACTCTCTCTAATAGAAGGATAAGGCAACTTATTTATGATCTCCCCTCCAAAAGCAAAAACTAGCATTCTTCTAGCTGTCTTTATGTCAACGCCACGAGCTTGAAAATAAAAAAGTTGGCTTTCTTCTAGGTCACTTATGGCTGCTCCATGAGAGCATTTGACATCATCGGCCACAATTTGGAGATTTGGTTTAACATTTACAGTTGCCCGAGGTTCAAGAAGGAGGCTTCTTGTTAACTGCCCTGCATCTGTCTGCTGAGCATACCTATAAAATAATAGTTCAGCATTCATATAAAGCAGCCTATATCTGATCAAAATTACACAGAATTTGGAAACAAATACATATGATTTTAGTCAATAATTAACTTCAATCATCACTTAAAGCAACAAAGCCAACCCCATTAAATGGCAAGGATTTCAATCCCATATTAGAAACTTCTGGGATAGCTCTAAAAATTGTAACTTGGATTGCATTTGCATTCATTGTCATATATACTTGTACATAATTTCATAAAATTGTTATTAAAGAAGGGTTATAAAACGGAGTTACCTGTTAACCTTTACATTCCCATCAAATACTGCTTGTCCCTGTGAATGAGCCAGGATGCACTTGTGAAGTTGACGGGAATAACCTCGTGGATGATCCAAGACAAGGCTACTATGCAGATCCTGGGTTTGATCGCCAACAGACAAGTGTAATGTTGATAATTCTGTCACCGTACTGGGGCCCAACTGCTGGATATGAAGATTATGCCTACCGAGCTTTCCTCCTGAGCTTACCTCGACCAACTCATATGTGCTAGATGATTCCTGAGATCGATCAACTAAAATCATGAGGTTACTCTTGTAAAATTTCTTTCATATATCCACTCTAGCATAACTTCTCAACAATGTAAAGAGCTTTTTAAATGAGCAATTCATGATATATTTTATTTGATAAAAAAATGGTTTCCCCGCTCTTTTGTGGACTCAGGAAACGGTTTCACCTAATTCAATATCTCATTTATCCTGCAAGCACTTCGACAAATGACTTCTGTATAACTTTAAATCCTTTTTGCTGTCCCACAGCAGCATCTCGAATCCTACTTACAAACCCAGACTCTGAGTTGGCAGATCTGGAGAGAATTGATGTGAACAATTAGCTCTGAAAAAGTAGAGAGTTGGATTTAAATAAGTCACTGGCAACAGTTACTTCTTGTCGCCAACAATTTAGATCTCCATGTTCGTTCATGAAGCAAACTGACATCAATTTTCAGTTTTTTTAAGAAAAAATCCAACAACTTTCTCCCAAGGAGCATGCCCCTAATAAAGACGTTGCCTATGCACACATACTAACTCGAAGGTTATTACTTTTGAAAAGAGTAGAGAGTATCCACAAATTTATGGCGCCACTGAATTAGATTAACTGTGACATTTTTTTTTTAATTTGAGAGAACAACTGACATATCAAAGTGTCTATTAGTCTATTAGAAAACGTTTATCAATTAGCATCCTATGATTAGTAATTAATAACTAGCACCAATTAATTAATAACCTCTCAGGACATTAGTTACCTTACGGGTCGCGAATGTTCCTTTGTGAAGCCGAGCAAGCAACTGGTTATGTGGGATGATGTAAGCTAGCAATTTAGCTTGTAAAACATTCTTATCTAGTATTCCCTCCGGTCCTATTTATAAAACCTTATCTATTGATTTTTACTAGGACTTAACCACTAACCAGTAAATTCCTGCTTTAAATGTAGGAGGCTTGAAACGACAAACCATAATGGGTAAAGGCGAAAAACAAAAGCATTTACCTGCTGGACTGAGGTCCATTTTATATGAGCTGCACCCAAGGATTGACTCTGGATATACGAATGCCTAACTTTTCCACCTTCTCTAATGACCATCTCCAAAGCAGAATTTGCCCAATAACATCGATTCCCGTTTTCTGCCGAAAATTCCTCAATTATATCAATCTCTCCTCCCTTCTCCACCAATACAAGCACTCTTGGATTTGAAACATGCATTGCATTCAAACCTTCGTTGCTGCCCTCAATTGAAAAGTACGCTAAATGTATCGGATTTTCCACTCGGCAACCCTCCGGAACATAGACTACTGCCACATCAGGAGTTCCTATTCCATTGATAGACCAGAACAAGTCCCCACCATTCAGCCCCCAAACAATTTCAGAGATCCTATCCATTATGCTCGTCGAAGTTAGTTCCGACAAATTACCAACATAAAGCCCTTCCGGCAATCCGGTCAAATTGGACATTGATTTTACCACGTGGCCATCAACAATTCCAAGATACGGAAATTGAGAATTCACAGAAACACCGGACAAGCGAGATGGATATGGAGGGTGAGAAACAGGGCGGATTTCTGAGTACCTGATGAATGAGAGGTCGGTGAAGCGAAAGGGCTCGTCTTTGCGAGAAGGCCAAGCAGTCGAGAGCAATGATTCAGAGGATGCTTCTCTGAGCTTCTGGAGTGGTGGGGGAGCTGAAGAAGACGAGGGGATAGAGTCCTCAAGGGTTTCAGCAAGTTCAAGTACAAATGGGTCAGAAGTGATGGGCTGTGAAGTAAAAGAAGATTGAACAGAGACAGTCGCTTTGGTTTTGCGATTGCCGATGATCTTACAAGTTGTAGTCGTAGATGGTGAGAATAAAAGAACTGAGGGTTTGTAAACTGGAGGCGTTAAGGATGAAGTACTCATCGAAACTGGAGGAGCAAAGGCTGAACCATTCATCGACGATGTAAAGTTGAATGTGCTGAAACATCCAAAAATCTAACTTCTGGCCTAGTTGCCTTCTCCACCAGACACCACGCTGACCTTTGACGGCCAATAAGAGGCACGATTTTGTGCTGGAATTAGCTATCGTGTTTTCAAGTGGAATTGCGAAGTTTTTGTATTCAGCCATGTCCACTTATGAGATCTTCAGACCCAAAAATGGATTTGTGAGGGATTTTTTTTTTTGGTAGGAATGGATTTGGTGAGTTATTGAGTCCAATTGACCTGCTCGTTCTGCCATGCGAGCCCGTTTCTTTTAACATGTCTGCCATTAACTTTACTTGGACTCTACCCTAGCTTTTTGTGCCAACACTCTCCCACAGTTTTTTTGGGCTAAGACTCTCTAATAGTTATCCAAGCCCGAAATGCCTAAGCATCTGGCCCAAGAAAAGAAGACGTTCACTCTCCAAAGTCCACACCTCAAAGTTTTATCATCTCAAACAATTTATGACCAACGAGAATCAAATCTAGCAACAAGGCTAGATTTTCATAACATAATGAATAAGATTTTTATTATTGTTAAAAAATATCTATATTTAGTATTTAATTATGTCTCAAACAAATATTACTTTCAATAAATTCAATTAAAAAAAAACACTTGTACACAACAAAAAAGATACTGCTACAGTTGACAAGATGAGTAGTGGAAGGCCTCAAAAGTCAAAACACCATTTGGAGCTAATTCAAGCAAACTCTTGAATTTATTTCTGTTGGGACCAGGAGTGTCTTTTACTGAAGCTAATTTTCCTTGTATTCCATTTTTGAATCTCTATCTTTTCTCTTCTCGTAATTTATGTCCTCTTTTTTTTTTTTTTTGGTTTCGCTAACCCTGTCCTTTCTAAACTTACTCCATTCGAATTAGTAAATTGTAAGTTCCGAGGCTCCCCTCCAAAAAGAAAAAAAGGGTAGAATTATAACTCTAAGTTGATAAGTAAATCGCTAAATCAAGTACCGAATGGAGTGAAATCGATGTTGATGAGGGACTTAACAAGACAATCCTGGAACAGGGAATTTGCTGTGATGAATATGCACGTACGCATGTTGTGATTTGCTTCACTAATCATCGTTTTTATTGAATATGAATCTTCATTAAAAGGTAGAAACCGATCGAAACCGGGACTCTCCTTATGGAGTGTGTTCGCAGAATAGATGTTGACAAAATATCAGTTTGACTGCAAAGAATCCAAACGAAGATGGTGGCGACAGGATTGGGGATTTAAGTGGGAAATGGAGCGCATGATTCCCGCGCCCCCCCCCCCCCCTTTCCTGCATGGCGGCGAATCCAAATTCGAAAGCACACAACTCAACATTAGGGAATAAATAGGGTGATTGAAGAGAATATAATAATACTCATAGAAACAGAGTGAGGAGACAATTGCGAAGCACGAGGTGAGTTTCAAGTTTGGAAATAACAAAACTCCAAAAGAGGCAATGGGGTGATGAGAGCCGCCGTGTAACGGGAAAAATTGGTGGGTGATACATATGCTCAATATACCTGCCATTATATTTAGTCAACCAAATCTGCAATTAGTAATTACTATTATGAACTTATTTATTTTGAACTATCACCTTTATTCAAAATTCATTAATTATATAAGAGAATGAAATGTAAATTTAAAATTTTTTCATTTAAGTAAAGGTAGAATTAAAAATTTATTATATTTTTAAATAAAATTAATCACCTAACCATTTATTGGTTTTGGCGAGATAATTAAATGTTTCTTATAATGGGATGGGAGGGAGTAGGCATGAAGAATGTAAACCAGAGTATCTTAAAGTGATCCGATCCCCGACACTATGTCTGCTATTCTCCTTCCCCTCCCTTCTTTTGTCTCTTCCTTGTCTCTTTCTTCTCTCCCACTTCCTTGTCCACTTTAATTTTCTTCTTTGTTTATTTGTCAGTTACTGTATTAGTGAGTGTATTAATTTAGGAACAGGTTATTATTAAATATTCCGAAAGGAATTAAATAAGTAAGGGTGAAATGTGTTTCATGGGCTCAGAATGATGGAGGGAGACAAGGAAGGGCCGTTTATGACGAAAGGAGGACGAATCACACAAACCTGGAAGACAGCTTTGGAATAGATAATGGGACGGGAGAGGAACATGGTTATAGCAGACTGAATAAATCTTTTGTCTTATTCGGCTTTTGGGCAAACACACTGTCTCGACCATGATGTTGAGAAAGATTGATTAGTGATTCTTGAGAGAAATTAGGAAGTTGACGATTTATGTAATCCCATTGAGGACAGACACAGAGTCATCATTATTGGGATTGGTGAGCTTTGAAGAGGAGATCTTGACGGGTCACAACACTGAATCTGGCACCAACCCAATCCCACGAAAAGACAGGCAAGAGCAACGAGCCACACCGGAGAAGGTGGCCTTCTCTTTTCGCACTCCGTATTTATTATTTACAATTCTCGTGCTTCAAAAACACAATGAGAACTGCTATTATTGATCAATTAGAACAAGAGAGTTCATTACGATTTACGACCCTACATGATGAATGTAATATATAATTCATAAAAAGTAAAAGCAGACGTCATTGAACTTTTCTACAAAGTTCAGCTGACGAAATAATGCAATTAACTGCTGTATGAATGGAACTTTACACCTCGACCTCTGTAGATTCAAGATTTGATATCTTGGACGCCTTGATCGGACTACATTACACCGTTTTTTCTTGACAAGATAAGGATAAGATTTGAAGGGATGATGATTAAAGACGAGCCCAATGTATGGATGATGACGTAAGAGAAATAGTAACATATATATAATAAAGTCTAATCTTTTTTAATTTGCCTTCTTCTATGGACAAATCGCCAAACTATATTTCACTGTGTTTGATAGACAGATTTGGTTTGGCTTACTCAGATTGTAAACTTGCTTCCTGACAATGTGAACGCGATCGCCAAAATTGTGATAATATGCAAAATCCAGTGTGGAAAGGCCAAAAATGGTAGTGTACTTGCACCATCAAGCTAAGCACATAAAAACAAGGTCACTAGCTTATGACCAAAAGGAAAACAAATAATTTGACCTCTTTTGCCTTTCTTCACATCTAAAAAAGGTGGCGAGCAGTTTACACTCTCTCTCTTAGTTGCCTTGTCAAATATAACTTCACAGAGATGATCAATCCCTCAAGCCTGATCAGAGACCAACATCGCTTTAGAATCACGATAATGACATAGTCACTCCATCGCATCTCTCTCTCTTTCTTGCAATATTATTTTCCCCCACGGTGTAAAGAAACTACAAATGCTTTTGATATACATGTATGTATTGATAAGAAGAAAATAGTACAGAAAAACATAGGTACCACATGAAAAGCGAAGAAAATAGTAGGTTGCTCGAGGTTACCTAAAAAACGAAGTTCGAGTGTTTGCTTATAAATATTGTGGCTTCATAGATTAATTGGCTAATGAATGTCGAAGGTAAGAAGCACAAGCTTTCACTGCGTTAGAGATTGGATTTATTAATTCACCCAAAAAGAAAAAAAGAAATAGGGTTTATTAACTTATATTTTTAATAAAGCTGAGCACTTTTAAATTAGTAGCTAAACGACCGTTAATGAATGGGGAGGCCAAAGTTAAGCAATTAGCGTATGTAACAAGTATTAACGTTCTCAACTAATTTTCCCCTTAATAATATGTCTTAATATCACTCTATAACAATACATTGCTACAATAACATTTCTTTCTCTCTTTCTTTCTTTTTTAATTCGGAGGACATGATGAGATCCAACTCGCTTATCCGCTGGATGAAAAAGAGGAAGCTTAGCCTTTCATCAAGTCTCCGTCTCGTGCTTATAAGTACTTGTTTATGAAGTGATAATGAAAGTGTGCTAACAAAAAAACCTCTTTCTAATGTAGTGTTTATATATAGCATATGGTTGGTCTTAGCTTCATGCTGGCAAATGATGCAGCGATAGACCGTGCATGCGCAGAGAACAAGTGCAATATTAAGATAAATCCTCACTGGTGAGACCAAATCAGCATATTTATTAAACCAAGAAGAAAAGCGGACCGTGTCCTGGAAAATGACACAATTATGTCAAGGCTCGATTGACTGATCTTGCAGAGCAAAACAATATAAAAGCCCTGAAGCTCTTTCTTTGGTTTTCACAGAAAAAGCAGGGAGCAGCATCCACTGTTAGGAGATCGATACATCTTTTGTTTTCCAACTTCACAAATCAGCAGTGGTTAGATTATATTCATGAGCGTGTGTGTTAACCGCATAAAGCAAAGGAGGAAAGTAATTAACACAAGTAGGTGCCAAAGCAAGGGCTTAATTAGTAACTTTAGGGGGGATATTGCAGTACTAATCAAGTGAGGGAAAGGGCCCACCAGAAGCAGGAGTTGAAAGAGAGCTTTTGTTGCTTTTAAGATGAGAAACGACAAGGAACGAGGAAGGAGGAGGGTTACAAGAGGAGCCACTTTAATTTGGGAGGATTGGTCCCACTTGATGACACTATCGCTCTCCATTAAAGCTTAAAAAGTGTTTTGTCCGACTCAGGATGACGTGTCTCAGACTTCGCGCTCCATGCTAACTCCTTCCAACAACCTTTTTACGCGTCACTTTCTTACACTGCCTTATAAACAATATTCATCTCTTTTTTCCTGTATGTGCGCGCGCGCGCGCCATGCGACTCCTAATTATTTCAACGGCTCCTTGAGTAAACACTAATTATTCAGAATATTAATCAATTTATTTGACATTTGATACCCATTACATTTTCTTTTATTTTTAGATTAATCTCAATCCTTTGTTGCAGTACCCTTATTTGATAAACAAAAATTCTCATATATTAATAATAAAAAATTTTCAATTAGAAATCAAGATCCCAATAAAATATCTAGGGCTTTCAAACTTACAACTATCTTTAAACAAAAATAAAAAGAGACATTAATACAAAAAATATGGCTCAGATCAAAATCAAATAGAATAACTCTTTAAAATAATTAATTTTAAAGGATCCAAAATAACGTAATTTATTAAATGTTTCAAAATTAATAAAATAGTAAATTAAATACACACTTTTAAGTCATGGCAATAAACAAAATGTAAATTGAATATGTGCAATACC